CCCCATTCTCCCGCTTTCCATCACCCCGCCCCATTCTCCCGCTTTCTATCACCCCGCCCCATTCTCCCGCTTTCCATCACCCCGCCCCATTCTCCCGCTTTCCATCACCCTGCCCCATTCTCCCGCCTTCCATCACCCCGCCCCATTCTCCCTCCTTCCATCACCCCGCCCCATTCTCCCGCCTTCCATCACCCCACCCAATTCTCCCGCTTTCCATCACCCCGCCCCATTCTCCCTCTTTCCATCACCCCGCCCCATTCTCCCGCTTTCCATCACCCCGCCCCATTCTCCCGCTCTCCATCACCGCGCCCCATTCTCCCACTTTCCATCACCCCGCCCCATTCTCCCTCCTTCCATCACCCCGTCCCATTCTCCCTTTTGGTGCAACCCTACGGTTTGCACTCGGCTTGTTGTCCGTGTGCGTGAATGTGTGTGTGTATGGAATGGTATGAGGGCATGGGATAATATATATATTTCATGCTTATAATTGTGTGTGAATGTTGAGTCATGATGTCGAGTGTGTGTGTCGAGTCAATAGCGAGTTATCGCTAGACGCGTGTTACGCGGTCGTTTGTGTCTCGCGCGCGGTTTCTATTTTGTCGTGCGCGGTTTCTATTTTGTCCTGTGTCGAACGTTCGGCGTGTCGCAGGTGTGTGCAGCAGACCCATCAAGAACTCAAGGATGAGTTTGTGATGAAGAGCCCGAGCCTTGGTGTCAAGCCTCAAGTGATTTCGAAGCTCGCCAAAAGGGTACACCTCAAGATATTGAAGATAGTTACATTACTTTGTGTAGTGTAACATTTCACTTGGTGTAGGCCCTAGTGAAGGGTAGTTTCGAGACCCTTCGTGGTTGGGGACAGTGTGGCACTGTTCCACATCACTGTACCTCGGCTCTTGGGGTTTGTAGGAGCTGGGAGTCATTCCCAACTCGTAACTCTTCCTATCTTGTGTTCTAAGACTATAGTGGCTGCCATAGTACCGTTCGTTCAAACCGACGCTGTGTCGTCAATTCTTTATCAAATCGTGCAATCTAAATTGATAATTGTAGACGACGTGAAGACGCTCCAGATCCAATTTGAATCAGGTCATTTGCAGCTGTGAGCAGAACGCTATCAACGTTTGAAGCCGCTGTGCAGAAATCCGTCTGTGCTCTCTATCTTTCGTTTTAGGCACATTGGAGCCTACTGTGACTATAACAAGTGGTATCAGAGCCCCTTGGAGCAGTTTCGACAATGTCTGGACCTGAGGAAAGGGGTGGCAGAGGTGCTGGTGGCAGTGGAGAAGCTCAAGCTCAAGGCCAACCCCGTGATTCAGCCATGGCGCCCATGCAACCAAGTCTTGGCCCACCTAGGGATGAGCCTAGGGTGTTTGGGCTTGACAAGTTCAACGGTGACAACTTTGCTGAATGGTCCTTCAAGATGGAGAACATCTTTGACCACTATGACCTGCTGGAGGTGATGGAAGGAACGGAGAAGCGCCCCGAGAACGACCCGGAGAAGAGCCCGTGGGTGCGGAAGAGCGCACAAGGCTATCTCTTACTTGGGCAAGCGTTGGGGAGCAGTCAGATCCGTCACATCAAGCCATTCCAGCGTGAACCAGAGAAGGGACCAAAGGCATGGGCTGCTCTCAAGGGTGTACATGCTCCTGCAACAGCGGCGGTAGCGGTGGTGTTGGAACGGCAAATGGCGGCACTACGAATTGAAGAAGACGAAGCGGTTGAAGAAGGGGTGCAGAAATTCTTCGACTTGTTGACGCGGCTTGAGGGAGCTGATTTGAACTACAGTGAGCTCCAAAAGAAGACCAAGTTGCTGGCCTTACTCCCAGAGTCATGGTCCTCGCTCATCATCAACCTTAATCGCGACTTGCCCCGCCTCTCGCTTGAAGACGTGAAGCGAGCTATCCTTCAAGAGGATTTCCGCCGCCGTGAGTTGGCGAGTGCGGATGGCGCTGGGGCAGCGAGCATCGGCCGTGGATATGGTAGAAGAAGAGGCAGAGGACGAGGGGGAGGAAGGTTTGGTGGCAGCAACTTCGGCGGAGGCCGCAGGAGTGGCGGTTACGGCAGCGACGACAAGAGCTACGGACGCGGTCGCGGCTGATTCGACGGCGAGTGTCACTATTGCCACAAGAGCGGACACATGTGGCGCGACTGCTACAAACTCCCTGATGGTTGGACCCCTGCTCAAGGCCAAGAGGGTAGAGGAGCAGGAGGAGGGAGAGGACGAGGCCGTGGAGGCCGTGGCGGTCGCGGTGGCGGAGCTGCAAACATGAAGAGCGGAGACAACGACAAGGACCCGAGCGACGATCGATACCCGGGTCTATTCTACTTCGTGTCGACGCAAGTACCGGCTGGTCCAGAGAAGGATGAAGGCTTTGAGGAGCCAGCAGCTGTGGGGAAGGTGACCCTACACCCCCTGGAATATTGGGTGATTGATAGTGGCGCTACCTATAGCATGACACCTCGCCCGGACTTGCTCACCGAACTCGAGCCGTCACCGGTGAAGCATGTCACATCGGCTTTGGGGCAGCGAGCAGAGGTGAAAGGCATGGGCAAGGCCATGTTCAAGGGTGCTGATGGGAAGATGGTGGGCCTCAAGAACGTGCTTTGGGTGCCCAGCCTTGCTGCAAACCTGATTTCTGTGCGGCGGTTGGCAAAGGCCGGCATGGACACGAATTCGAAGGGAGCCAAGACCTACACCGCAAGGCTTGGCGATCGAATTCTTTGGGACCTTCATGAGGACAGGGATGTCTACAACGAGATGTGGCAGATCCCAGTGGTCCCTATGCCTAAGGAGAGGCAAGTGGCAGCAAGCATCAGCACCAAGGATGGAGCGGTCGGTAGCGACGATGGCGCGAACGGTCGCGCTAAGGAGAATGAGCTCAAGAAGAGCAAACCTGGAGGGACCAGCAAGTTCAGTGAACCTAAGGAGAGTGGTGCAGCAACCAAGGAGCAGCAAAAGGGTGAGGAGAACCCAGAGGCAGCAGCGGAGGAGGACTACGGAGAGAGTATGTGGGGCGCTATTGCGAGCGCGGCATTCTCCAATCCAACTTCGGCTACGGGGGAGTGTGATTGGCTCACCTTGCATCGGCGCATGGGGCATGTGGCCCTGCCCATCTTGTAGCAGCTAGTGAAGAATGAGATGGTTGCTGGCATACGTGTGAAGGGGGAGCCCGATGAGGTGCTTGGCTGCCCGACGTGCATTCAAGCCAAGTTCACCCGGTTTCCGTTCCCTAGTTCGGAGGCAACGGCAAAGGCACCGCTTGATGAGGTGGTGATGGACGTGGTGGGCCCCCTGAAGCTTGGAGCTGCTGGAGCTGAGTATTTTCTCACCATTGTCGACGTCTACACCCGCATGACTTGGGTGTACGTGCTGGCCAAGAAGAGCGACGTGGCTGAAACGTTGAAGACGGATTGGTTCCCGATGGTGGAGCGGCAACAAGACCGTCTAGTCAAGTCAATCCGCACCGATCGAGGGGGAGAGTTCCTGAGCAAGGATTTTGGGTTGTGGCTGAAGAAGAATGGTATTCGGCACTCCCTCACCATGCCATACTCCCCTGCAATGAACGGCATCGCCGAGCGAGCGAACCGCACAATCACGGAGGCAGCACGCGGGTTGCTCATTGAAGCCGGGCTACCCGACTATTTCTGGCCTGATGCGGTGCGAAGCGCGTGTGTGGCCAAGAACAGAGTTTTGACTCATGTGGGAGCAGACAAATGGGTGCCCTATGTGGAGTGGCTAGGAAGGAAGCCAAAGGTGGATATGCTTCGGGTGTTCGGGTGCATGTGCATGGCGCTCGTGCCTAAGCATCTTCGGCACAACAAGCTTGGTGCCAAGGCGGTGTGGGCCGTGCACTTGGGCATGGCTCAAAACAGCAAGGGCTGGCTTCTTTGGGACCCATTCACCAAGAAGTTCTTGGTGAGCAGGGACTGCAAGTTCATGGAGAACTTCATGTACAAGGATTGGAAGGCGGAGAATGAGGCGAAGATAGGCGTGCGGTTTGGGGAGGTGAAGAGTTCCGGTTTGGAGCATGTGGAGCTGCCTTTGGAACTGAGCAGCGGCAGCACAACCACAAGGCAATCCTCCCTTGTGAATGGGGGAGAGGAGGCCAATGATGCAGAGGAGTTTCATGGTGGTTTATGTGGATGACATCCTCATTTTCTCACCCTCTTCTGACCTTGTGAAGGAGGTGATGCTGAAGCTTCAAGACAAGTTCAAGTGCAAGGCCCTTGGTGACGTGAGCTTCTACCTTGGGCTCCACATCGAACGAGATGTGGAGAAGCGGTGCATGCGGGTGCATCAACGAAAGTACCTGGAGGCATTGGCTGCCAACTTTGGGCAGAGTGAAGGCCATGTGGCTACACCCTTTCCCTCTGGGTTCAAGTGTGTGAAGGGACCAGAGGAGGAGAGCGTTGGTGAAGAGGAGAGGCGCCGATTTCACTCGTTGGTGGGCAGCCTCATGTATGCGGCGGTAAACACCCGACCGGACGTCGCGTTTGCTACCGGGCAGCTGGCTAGGGTTGTGCAATGCCCTAATGAGGAGCAGGTAGCAGCTGGAATGAGGGTGGCCAAGTATCTTGGCCAAACACCGACCGTTGGGCTGCAATACTCGGCGGCGGCACAAAGGCGCCAAAAGGGCGCGGATGGTGTTGAACCCGGGCGTTTGTTCCTCACCGCCTACTCGGATTCTTCATATGCATCAGAACCAGAGGACATGACAAGTGTGGGAGGCTTCATATGCTGTGTTGGTGGAGGCCCAACTGCTTGGGAGAGCAAGAAGCAGGTTGACCAAGCTTTGAGCTCGGTGGAGTCCGAGTACATGGCACTCTTCCGTGCCGTACGGGAGATTGTGTGGCAGCGGCGTTTGTTGGCTGAATTGGGGGAGGAGCAGCAAGGACCTACCCCACTGTACTGTGACAGCCAGGGTGCCATTGCTCTTGCTAAGAACCCTGTGTTGCATGGACTCACGAAGCACATGAGGGTGAAGTGGCATTGGACGAGGAGCATGGTAACCGCGGGTGAAGTTGAGTTGCGCTACGTGAAGACCACGGGGCAGCCGGCTGACATGATGACCAAGAGGCTGGTGGAGCAGCAGCATTGGAAGTGTTGCAAGCTGGCTGGGATGGCTCTGAACTGAGAGAGCAACATATCCTAAGGCCAACAATCCGAGGGGGAGTTTGTTGGTGCAACCCTACGGTTTGCACTCGGCTTGTTGTCCGTGTGCGTGAATGTGTGTGTGTATGGAATGGTATGAGGGCATGGGATAATATATATATTTCATGCTTATAATTGTGTGTGAATGTTGAGTCATGATGTCGAGTGTGTGTGTCGAGTCAATAGCGAGTTATCGCTAGACGCGTGTTACGCGGTCGTTTGTGTCTCGCGCGCGGTTTCTATTTTGTCGTGCGCGGTTTCTATTTTGTCCTGTGTCGAACGTTCGGCGTGTCGCAGGTGTGTGCAGCAGACCCATCAAGAACTCAAGGATGAGTTTGTGATGAAGAGCCCGAGCCTTGGTGTCAAGCCTCAAGTGATTTCGAAGCTCGCCAAAAGGGTACACCTCAAGATATTGAAGATAGTTACATTACTTTGTGTAGTGTAACATTTCACTTGGTGTAGGCCCTAGTGAAGGGTAGTTTCGAGACCCTTCGTGGTTGGGGACAGTGTGGCACTGTTCCACATCACTGTACCTCGGCTCTTGGGGTTTGTAGGAGCTGGGAATCATTCCCAACTCGTAACTCTTCCTATCTTGTGTTCTAAGACTATAGTGGCTGCCATAGTACCGTTCGTTCAAACCGACGCTGTGTCGTCAATTCTTTATCAAATCGTGCAATCCAAATTGATAATTGTAGACGACGTGAAGACGCTCGAGATCCAATTTGAATCAAGTCATTTGCAGCTGTGAGCAGAACGCTATCAACGTTTGAAGCTGCTGTGCAGAAATCCGTCTGTGCTCTCTATCTTTCGTTTTAGGCACATTCAAGCCTATTGTGACTGTAACACTCCCGCTTTCCATCACCCCACCCCATTCTCCCGCATTCCATCACCCCGCCCCACTCTCCCGCTTTCCATCACCCCGCCCCAGTCTCCCGCTTTCCACCACCCCGCCCCATTCTCCCGCTTTCCATCACCCCGCCCCATTCTCCCGCTTTCCATCACTCCGCCCCATTCTCCCGCTTTCCATCACCCCGCCCCATTCTCCCGCTTTGCATCACCCCGCCCCATTCTCCCGCTTTCCATCACCCTGGCCCATTCTCCCTCCTTCCATCACCCCGCCCCATTCTCCCGCTTTCCATCACCCCGCCCCATTCTCCCGCTTTCCATCACCACGCCCCATTCTCCCACTTTCCATCACAACGCCCCATTCTCCCTCCTTCCATCACCCCGCCCCATTCTCCCGCTTTCCATCACCCCGCCCCATTCTCCCGCTTTCCATCACCCCGCCCCATTCTCCCGCTTTCCATCAACCCGCCCCATTCTCCCGCTTTCCATCACCCCGCCCCATTCTCCCGCTTTCCATCACCCCGCCCAATTCTCCCGCTTTCCATCACCCCGCCCCATTCTCCCGCTTTCCATCACCGCGCCCCATTCTCCCACTTTCCATCACCCCGCCCCATTCTCCCTCCTTCCATCACCCCGCCCTATTCTCCCGCTTTCCATCACCCCACCCCATTCTCCCTCCTTCCATCACCGCGCCCCATTCTCCCTCCTTCCATCACCCCGCCCCATTCTCCCGCTTTCCATCACCCCGCCCCATTCTCCCGCTTTCCATCGCCCCATTCTCCCGCTTTCCATCACCCTGCCCCATTCTCCTGCTTTCCATCACCCCGCCCCATTATCCCGCTTTCCATCACCCCGCCCCATTCTCCCGCTTTCCATCACCCCGCCCTATTCTACCACTTTCCATCTACCCGCCCCATTCTCCCGCTTTCCATCACCCCGCTCCTTTCTCCCGCTTTCCATCACCCCGCCCCATTCTCCCGCTTTCCATCACCCCGCCCCATTCTCCCGCTTTGCATCACCCCGCCCCATTCTCCCGCTTTCCATCACCCCACCCCATTCTCCCTCCTTCCATCACCCAGCCCCATTCTCCCTCCTTCCATCACCCCGCCCCATTCTCCCGCTTTCCATCACCCCGCCCCATTCTCCCGCTTTCCATCACCCCGCCTTATTCTCCCGCTTTGCATCACCCCGCCCCATTCTCCCACTTTCCATCACCCCGCCCCATTCTCCCTCCTTCCATCACCCCACCCCATTCTCCCGCTTTCCATCACCCCGCCCCATTCTCCCGCTTTCCATCACCCCGCCCCATTCTCCCGCTTTCCATCACCCCGCCCCATTCTCCCGCTTTCCATCACCCCACCCCGTTCTCCCGCTTTCCATCACCCCGCCCCATTCTTCCTCCTTTCATCACTCCGCCCCATTCTCCCTCCTTCCATCACCCCACCCCATTCTCCCGCTTTCCATCACCCCGCCCCATTCTCCCGCTTTCCATCACCCCGCCCCATTCTCCCGCTTCCATCACCCCGCCCCATTCTCTCGCTTTCCATCACCCCGCCCCATTCTCCCGCTTTCCATCACCCCGCCCCATTCTCCCGCTTTCCATCACCCCGCCCCATTCTCCCTCCTTCCATCGCCCCGTCCCATTCTCCCGCTTTCCGTCACCCCGCCCCATTCTCCCGCTTTCCATCACCCCGCCCCATTCTCCCGCTTTCCATCACCCCGCCCCATTCTCCCGCATTCCATCACCCCGCCCCATTCTCCCGCTTTCCATCACCCCACCCCATTATCCCTCCTTCCATCACCCCGCCCCATTCTCCTTTCTTCCATCACCCTGCCCCATTCTCCCGCTTTCCATCACCCCGCCCCATTCTCCCGCTTTCCATCACTCCGCCCTATTCTCCCGCTTTCCATCACCCCGCCCAATTCTCCCGCTTTCCATCACCCCTCCCCATTCTCCCGCTTTCCATCACCCCGCCTCATTCTCCCGCTTTCCATCACCCCGCCCCATTCGCCCGCTTTCCATCACCCCGTCCATTCTCCCGCTTTCCATCACCCCGTCCCATTCTCCCGCTTTCCATCACCCCGCCCCATTCTCCCACTTTCCATCACCCCACCCCGTTCTCCCGCTTTCCATCACCCCGCCCCATTCTTCCTCCTTTCATCACTCTGCCCCATTCTCCCTCCTTCCATCACCCCACCCCATTCTCCCGCTTTCCATCACCCCGCCCCATTCTCCCGCTTTCCATCACCCCGCCCCATTCTCCCGCTTTGCATCACCCCGCTCCATTCTCTGGGGCGTCCGGGGAGAGCATCGCGACGCTTTGGGGCATCCGGGGAGAGCATCGCGACGCTCTGGGGCGTCCGGGGAGAGCATCGCGACACTCTGGGGCGTCCGGGGAGAGCATCGCGACGCTCTGGGGCGGTTTGGGAGAGCATTGCGACGCTCTGGGGCGTCCGGGTAGAGCATCGCGACACTCTGGGGCGTCCGGGGAGGGCATCGCGACGCTCTGGGGCGTCCGGGGAGAGCATCGCGACGCTCTGGGGCGTCCGGGGAGAGCATCGCGACGCTCTGGGGCGTCCGGGGAGAGCATCGCGACGCTCTGGGGCGTCCAAGGAGAGCATCGCGAAGCTCTGGGGCGTCCGAGAAGAGCATCGCGACGCTCTGGGGCATCCGGGGAGAGCACCGCGACGCTCTGGGGCGTCCGGGGAGAGCATCGCGATGCTCTGGGGCGTCCGGGGAGAGCATCGCGACGCTCTGGGGCGTCCGAGGAGAGCATCGCGACGCTCTGGGGCGTCCGGGGAGAGCATCGCGACGCTTTGGGGCGTCCGGGGAGAGCATCGCGGCGCTCTGGGGCGTCCGAAGAGAGCATCGCGACGCTCTGCGGCGTTCGGGGCGAGCATCACGACGCTCTGGGGCGGCTGGGGAGTGCATCGCGATGCTCTGGGGCGTCCGGGTAGAGCATTGCGACGCTCTGGGGCGTCCGGGGAGAGCATCGCGACGCTCTGGGGCGTCTGGGGAAAGTATCGCGACGCTCTGGGGCGTCCGGAGAGAGCATCGCGATGCTCTGGGGCGTCCGGGGAGAGCATCGCGACGCTCTGGGGCGTCCGGGGAGAGCATAGCGACGCTCTGGGGCGTCCGGGGAGAGCATCGCGACGCTCAGGGGCGTCCGGGGAGAGCATCGCGACGCTCTGGGGCGTCCGGGGAGAGCATCGTGAAGCTCTGGGGCGTCGAGGGAGAGCATTGCGACGCTCTGGGGCGTCCGGGGAGAGCATCACGACGCTCTGGGGCGGCTAGGGAGAGCATCGCGACGCTCTGGGGCGTCCGGGGAAAGCATCGCGACGCTCTGGGGCGTCCGGGGAGAGCATCGCGACGCTCCGGGGCGTCAGGGGAGAGCATCGCGACGCTCTGGGGCGGCAGGGGAGAGCATCGCGACGCTCTGGGGCGTCCGGGGAGAGCATCGCGACGCTTAGGGGCATCCGGGGAGAGCATCACGACGCTCTGGGGCGTCCGAGGAGAGCATCGCGACACTCTGGGGCGTCCGGGAAGAGCATCGCGACGCTCTGGGGCGGCTTAGGAGAGCATCGCGACGCTCTTGGGCGTCCGGGTAGAGCATCGCGACGCTCTGGGGCGTCTGGGGAGAGCATCGCGACGCTCTGGGGCGTCCAGGCAGAGCATCGCGATGCTCTAAGGCGTCCGGGGAGAGCATAGCGACGCTCTGGGGCGTGCGGGGAGAGCATCGTGACGCTCTGGGGCGTCCGGGGAGAGCATCGCGACGCTCAGGGGCGTCCGGGGAGAGCATCGCGACGCTCTGGGGCGTCCTGGGAGAGCATCGCGACGCTCTGGGGCGTCCGGGGAGAGCATCGCGACGCTCTGGGTCGTCCGAGGAGAGCATCGCGACGCTCTGGGGCGTCCGGGGAGAGCATAGCGACGCTCTGGGGCGTCCGGGGAGAGCATCGCGACGCTCTGGGGCGTCCGGGGAGAGCATCGCGACGCTGTGGGGCGTCCGGGGAGAGCATCGCGACGCTCTGGGGCGTCCGGGGAGAGCATCGCGACGCTCTGGCGCGTCCGGGGAGAGCATAGCGACACTCTGGGGCGTCCGGGGAGAGCATCACGACGCTCTGGGCCGGCTAGGGAGAGCATCGCGACGCTCTGGGGCGTCCGGGGAAAGCATCGCGACGCTCTGGGGCGTCCGGGGAGAGCATCGCGACGCTCCGGGGCGTCCGGGGAGAGCATCGCGACGCTCTGGGGCGCCGGGGAGAGCATCGCGACGCTCTGGGGCGTCTGGGGAGAGCATCGCGACGCTCTGGGTCGTCCGGGGAGAGCATCGCGATGCTCTGGGGCGTCCGGGGAGAGCATCGCGACGCTCTGGGGCGTCCGGGGAGAGCATCGCGACGATCTGGGGCGTCCGGGGAGAGCACCGCGACGCTCTGGGTCGTCCGGGGAGAGCATCGCGACGCTCTGGGGCGTCCGGGGAGAGCATCGCGACGCTCTGGGTCGTCTGGGGAGAGCATCGCGACGCTCTGGGTCGTCCGGGGAGAGCATCGCGATGCTCTGGGGCGTCCGGGGAGAGCATCGCGACGCTCTGGGGCGTCTGGGGAGAGCATCGCGACGATCTGGGGCGTCCGGGGAGAGCACCGCGACGCTCTGGGTCGTCCGGGGAGAGCATCGCGATGCTCTGGGGCGTCCGGGGAGAGCATCGCGACGATCTGGGGCGTCCGAGGAGAGCATCGCGACGCTCTGGGGCGTCCGGGGAGAGCATCGCGACGCTGTGGGGCGTCCGGGGAGAGCATCGCGGCGCTCTGGGGCGTCCGAAGAGAGCATCGCGACGCTCTGCGGCGTTCGGGGCGAGCATCACGACGCTCTGGGGCGGCTGGGGAGTGCATCGCGATGCTCTGGGGCGTCCGGGTAGAGCATCGCGACGCTCTGGGGCGTCCGGGGAGAGCATCGCGACGCTCTGGGGCGTCTGGGGAAAGTATCGCGACGCTCTGGGGCGTCCGGAGAGAGCATCGCGATGCTCTGGGGCGTCCGGGGAGAGCATCGCGACGCTCTGGGGCGTCCGGGGAGAGCATAGCGACGCTCTGGGGCGTCCGGGGAGAGCATCGCGACGCTCTGGGGCGTCCGGGGAGAGCATCGCGACGCTCTGGGGCGTCCGGGGAGAGCATCGTGAAGCTCTGGGTCGTCCGGGGAGAGCATCGCGACGCTCTGGGGCGTCCGGGGAGAGCATCGCGACGCTCTGGGTCGTCCGGGGAGAGCATCGCGACGCTCTGGGGCGTCCGGGGAGAGCATAGCGACGCTCTGGGGCGTCCGGGGAGAGCATCGCGACGCTCTGGGGCGTCCGGGGAGAGCATCGCGACGCTGTGGGGCGTCCGGGGAGAGCATCGCGACGCTCTGGGGCGTCCGGGGAGAGCATCGCGACGCTCTGGCGCGTCTGGGGAGAGCATTTCGACGCTCTGGGGCGTCCGGGGAGAGCATCACGACGCTCTGGGGCGGCTAGGGAGAGCATCGCGACGCTTTGGGGCGTCCGGGGAAAGCATCGCGACGCTCTGGGGCGTCCGGGGAGAGCATCGCGACGCTCCGGGGCGTCCGGGGAGAGCATCGCGACGCTCTGGGGCGCCGCGGAGAGCATCGCGACGCTCTGGGGCGTCCGGGGAGAGCATCGCGACGCTCTGGGGCGTCTGGGGAGAGCATCGCGACGATCTGGGGCGTCCGGGGAGAGCACCGCGACGCTCTGGGTCGTCCGGGGAGAGCATCGCGATGCTCTGGGGCGTCCGGGGAGAGCATCGCGACGCTCTGGGGCGTCCGAGGAGAGCATCGCGACGCTCTGGGGCGTCCGGGGAGAGCATCGCGACGCTCTGGGGCGTCCGGGGAGAGCATCGCGGCGCTCTGGGGCGTCCGAAGAGAGCATCGCGACGCTCTGCGGCGTTCGGGGCGAGCATCACGACGCTCTGGGGCGGCTGGGGAGTGCATCGCGATGCTCTGGGGCGTCCGGGTAGAGCATCGCGACGCTCTGGGGCGTCCGGGGAGAGCATCGCGACGCTCTGGGGCGTCTGGGGAAAGTATCGCGACGCTCTGGGGCGTCCGGAGAGAGCATCGCGATGCTCTGGGGCGTCCAGGGAGAGCATCGCGACGCTCTGGGGCGTCCGGGGAGAGCATAGCGACGCTCTGGGGCGTCCGGGGAGAGCATCGCGACGCTCTGGGGCGTCCGGGGAGAGCATCGCGACGCTCTGGGGCGTCCGGGGAGAGCATCGTGAAGCTCTGGGGCGTCGAGGGAGAGCATTGCGAACGCTCTGGGGCGTCCGGGGAGAGCATCACGACGCTCTGGGGCGGCTAGGGAGAGCATCGCGACGCTCTGGGGCGTCCGGGGAAAGCATCGCGACGCTCTGGGTCGTCCGGGGAGAGCATCGCGACGCTCCGGGGCGTCCGGGGAGAGCATCGCGACGCTCTGGGGCGGTAGGGGAGAGCATCGCGACGCTCTGGGGCGTCCGGGGAGAGCATCGCGACGCTCTGGGGCGGCAGGGGAGAGCATCACGACGCTCTGGGGCGTCCGGGGAGAGCATCGCGACACTCTGGGGCGTCCGGGGAGAGCATCGCGACGCTCTGGGGCGGCTTAGGAGACCATCGCGACGCTCTTGGGCGTCCGGGAAGAGCATCGCGATGCTCTGGGGCGTCCGGGGAGAGCATCGCGACGCTCTGGGGCGTCCAGGGAGAGCATCGCGATGCTCTGGGGCGTCCAGGGAGAGCATCGCGACGCTCTAAGGCGTCCGGGGAGAGCATAGCGATGCTCAGGGGCGTGCGGGGAGAGCATCGCGACGCTATGGGGCGTCCAGGGAGAGCATCGCGACGCTCTGGGGCGTCCGGGGAGAGCATCGCGACGCTCTGGGGCGTCCGGGGAGAGCATAACGACGCTCTGGGGCGTCCGGGGAGAGCATCGCGATGCTCTGGGGCGTCAGGGGAGAGCATCGCGACACTTTGGGGCATCCGGGGAGAGCATAGTGACGCTCTGGGGCGTCCGGGGAGAGCATCGCGACACTCTGGGGCGTCCGGGGAGAGCATCGCGACGCTCTGGGGCGGTTTGGGAGAGCATCGCAACGCTCTGGGACGTCCGGGTAGAGCATCACGACGCTCTGGGGCGTCCGGGGAGAGCATCGCGACGCTCTGGGGCGTCCGGGGAGAGCATCGCGACGCTCTGGGGCGTCCGGGGAGAGCATCGCGATGCTCAGGGGCGTCCGTGGAGAGCATCGCGACGCTCTGGGGCGTCCGGGGAGAGCATAGGGACGCTCTGGGGCGTCCGGGGAGAGCATGGCGACGCTCTGGGGCGTCCGGGGAAAGCATCGCGACGCTCTGGGGCGTCCGGAGAGAGCATCGCGACGCTCTGGGGCGTCCGGGGAGAGCATCGCGACGCTCTGGGGCGGCAGGGGAGAGCATCGGGACGCTCTGGGGCGTCCGGGGAGAGCATCGCGACGCTTAGGGGCATCCGGGGAGAGCATCACGACGCTCTGGGGCGTCCGGGGAGAGCATCGCGACACTCTGGGGCGTCCGGGAAGAGCATCGCGACGCTCTGGGGCGGCTTAGGAGAGCATCGCGACGCTCTTGGGCGTCCGGGTAGAGCATCGCGACGCTCTGGGGCGTCCGGGGAGAGCATCGCGACGCTCTGGGGCGTCCAGGGAGAGCATCGCGATGCTCTAAGGCATCCGGGGAGAGCATAGCGACGCTCTGGGGCGTGCGGGGAGAGCATCGCGACGCTCTGGGGCGTCCGGGGAGAGCATCGTGACGCTCTGGGGCGTCCGGGGAGAGCATCGCGACGCTCTGGGGCGTCCTGGGAGAGCATCGCGACGCTCTGGGGCGTCCGGGGAGAGCATCGCGACGCTCTGGGTCGTCCGGAGAGAGCATCGCGACGCTCTGGGGCGTCCGGGGAGAGCATAGCGACGCTCTGGGGCGTCCGGGGAGAGCATCCCGACGCTCTGGGGCGTCCGGGGAGAGCATCGCGACGCTGTGGGGCGTCCGGGGAGAGCATCGCGACGCTCTGGGGCGTCCGGGGAGAGCATCGCGACGCTCTGGCGCGTCCGGGGAGAGCATAGCGACACTCTGGGGCGTCCGGGGAGAGCATCGCGACGCACTGGGGCGCCGGGGAGAGCATCGCGACGCTCTGGGGCGTCCGGGGAGAGCATCGCGACGCTCTGGGGCGTCTGGGGAGAGCATCGCGACGATCTGGGGCGTCCGGGGAGAGCACCGCGACGCTCTGGGTCGTCTGGGGAGAGCATCGCGATGCTCTGGGGCGTCCGGGGAGAGCATCGCGACGCTCTGGGGCGTCCGAGGAGAGCATCGTGACGCTCTGGGGCGTCCGGGGAGAGCATCGCGACGCTCTGGGGCGTCCGTGGAGAGCATCGCGGCGCTCTGGGGCGTCCGAAGAGAGCATCGCGACGCTCTGCGGCGTTCGGGGCGAGCATCACGACGCTCTGGGGCGGCTGGGGAGAGCATCGCGATGCTCTGGGGCGTCCGGGTAGAGCATCGCGACGCTCTGGGGCGTCCGGGGAGAGCATCGCGACGCTCTGGGGCGTCTGGGGAGAGCATAGCGACGCTCTGGGGCGTCCGGAGAGAGCATAGCGACGCTCTGGGGCGTCCGGGGTGAGCATCGCGACGCTCTGGGGCGTCCAAGGAGAGCATCGCGACGCTCTGGGGCATCCGGGGAGAGCATCGCGACGCTCTGGGGCGTCCGGGGAGAGCATCGCGACGCTCTGTGGCGTCCGGGGAGAGCATTGCGACGCTCTGGGGCGTCCGGGGAGAGCATCGCGACGCTCAGGGGCGTCCGAGGAGAGCATCGCGACGCTCAGGGGCGTTCGGGGAGAGCATCGCGATGCTCTGGGGCGTCCGGGGAGAGCATCGCGACGCTCTGGGGCGTCTGGGGAGAGCATCGCGACGCTCTGGGGCGTCCGGGGAGAGCATCGCGACGCTCTGGGGCGTCCGGGAGAGCATCGCGACGCTCTGGGGCGTCCGGGGAGAGCATCGCGACGCTCTGGGGCGGCCGGGGAGAGCATCGCGACGCTCTAAGGCGGCCGGGTAGAGCATCGCGACGTTCTGGGGCGTTCGGGTAGAGCATCGCGACGCTCTGGGGCGTCTGGGGAGAGCATTGCGACGCTCTGGGGCGTCCGGGGAGAGCATCGCGACGCACTGGGGTGTCCGGGGAGAGCATCGCGACGCTCTGGGGCGTCCGGGTAGAGCATCGCGACGCTCTGGGGCGTCCGAGGAGAGCATCGCGACGCTCTGGGGCGTCCGGGGAGAGCATCGCGACGCTCTAGGGCGTCCGGCGAGAGCATCACGATGCTCTGGGGCGTCCGGGGAGAGCATCGCGACGCTCTGGGGCGTCCGGGGAGAGCATCGCGACGCTCTGGGGCGTCCGGGGAGAGCATCGCGACGCTCTGGGGCGTCCGAGGAGAGCATCGTGAAGCTCTGGGGCGTCGGGGGAGAGCATTGCGACGCTCTGGGGCGTCCGGGAGAGCATCGCGACGCTCTTGGGCGTCCGGGGAGAGCATCGCGACGCTCTGGGGCGGCCGGGGAGAGCATCGCGACGCTCTGGGGCGTCCGGGGAGAGCATCGCGATGCTCTGGGGTGTCCGGGGAGAGCATCGCGACGCTCTGGGGCGTCCAGGGAGAGCATCGCGACGCTCTGGGGCGTCCGGGGAGAGCATCGCGACGCTCTGGGGCGTCCGGGGAGAGCATCGCGACGCTCTAGGGCGTCCGGGGAGAGCATCGCGACGCTCTGGGGCGTCCGGGGAGAGCATCGCGACGCTCTGGGGCGTCCGGGGATAGCATCGCGATGCTCTGGGGCGTCCGGGAGAGCATCGCGACGCTCTGGGGCGTCCGGGGAGAGCATCGCGACGCTCTGGGGCGGCCGGGGAGAGCATCGCGACGCTCTAAGGCGGCCGGGTAGAGCATCGCGACGTTCTGGGGCGTTCGGGTAGAGCATCGCGACGCTCTGGGGCGTCTGGGGAGAGCATCGCGACGCTCTGGGGCGTCCGGGGAGAGCATCGCGACGCACTGGGGTGTCCGGGGAGAGCATCGCGACGCTCTGGGGCGTCCGGGGAGAGCATCGCGACGCTCTGGGGCGTCCGGGGAGAGCATCGCGATGCTCTGGGGTGTCCGGGGAGAGCATCGCGACGCTCTGGGGCGTCCAGGGAGAGCATCGCGACGCTCTGGGGCGTCTGGGGAGAGCATAGCGACGCTCTGGGGCGTCCGGGGAGAGCATAGCGACGCTCTGGGCGTCCGGGGTGAGCATCGCGACGCTCTGGGGCGTCCGAGGAGAGCATCGCCACGCTCTGGGGCGTCCGGGGAGAGCATCGCGACGCTCTGGGGCGTCCGGGGAGAGCATCGCGACGCTCTGTGGCGTCCGGAGAGAGCATTGCGACGCTCTGGGGCGTCCGGGGAGAGCATCGCGACGCTCAGGGGCGTCCGGGGAGAGCATCGCGACGCTCAGGGGCGTTCGGGGAGAGCATCGCGATGCTCTGGGGCGTCCGGGGAGAGCATCGCGACGCTCTGGGGCGTCCGGGGAGAGCATCGCGACGCTCTGGGGCGTCCGGGGAGAGCATCACGACGCTCTGAGGCGGCTGGGGAGAGCATCGCGATGCTCTGGGGCGTCCGGGTAGAGCATCGCGACGCTCTGGGGCGTCCGAGGAGAGCATCGCGACGCTCTGGGGTGTCCGGGGAGAGCATCGCGACGCTCTAGGGCGTCCGGCGAGAGCATCGCGATGCTCTGGGGCGTCCGGGGAGAGCATCGCGACGCTCTGGGGCGTCCGGGGAGAGCATCGCGACGCTCTGGGGCGTCCGGGGAGAGCATCGCGACGCTCTGGGGCGTCCGGGGAGAGCATCGCGACGCTCTGGGGCGGCTGGGGAGAGCATCGCGACGCTCTGGGGCGTCCGGGTAGAGCATCGCGACGCTCTCGGGCGCCCGGGGAGAGCATCGCGACGCTCTGGGGCGTCCGGGGAGAGCATCACTACGCTCTGGGGCGTCCCAGGAGAGCATCGCGATGCTCTGTGGCGTCCGGGGAGAGCATCGCGACGCTCTGGGGCGTCGAGGGAGAGCATCGCGACGCTCTGGGGCGTCCGTGGAGAGCATCGCGACGCTCTGGGGCGTCCGGGGAGAGCATCGCAACGCTCTGGGGCATCCGGGGAGAGCATCGCGACGCTGTGGGGCGTCCGGGGAGAGCATAGCGACGCTCTGGGGCGTCCGGGGAGAGCATCGCGACGCTCTGAGGCGTCCGGGGAGAGCATCGCGACGGTCTGGGGCGTCCGGGGAGAGCATCGCGACGCTCTGGGGCGGCTGGGGAGAGCATCGCGACGCTCTGGGGCGTACGGGTAGAGCATCGCGACGCTCTGGGGCGTCCGGAGAGAGCATCGCGACGCTCTAGGGCGTTCGGGGAGAGCATCGCGACGCTCTGGGGCGTCCGGGGAGACCATAGCGACGCTCTAGGGCGTCCGGGGAGAGCATCGCGACGCTCTGGGGCGTCCGGGGAGAGCATCGCGACGCTCTGGGGCGTCCGGGGAGAGCATCGCGACGCTCTGGGGCGTCCGGGGAGAGCATCGCGACGCTCTGGGGCGGCCGGGGAGAGCATCGCGACGCTCTGGGGCGTCCGAGGAGAGCATCGCGACGCTCTGGGGTGTCCGGGAAGAGCATCGCGACGCTCTAGGGCGTCCGGGGAGAGCATCGCGATGCTCTGGGGCGTCCGGGGAGAGCATAGCGACGCTCTGGGGCGTCCGGGGAGAGCATCGCGACGCTCTGCGGAGTCCGGGGAGAGCATCGCGACACTCTGGGGCGTCCGGGGAGAGCATCGCGACGCTATAGGGCGTCCAGGGAGAGCATCGTGAAGCTCTGGGGCGTCGGGGGAGAGCATCGCGACGCTCTGGGGCGTCCGGGGAGAGCATCACGACTCTCTGGGGCGGCTGGGGAGAGCATGGCGACGCTCTGGGGCGTCCGGGGAGACCATATCGACGCTCTGGGGCGTCCGGGGAGAGCATCGCGACGCTCTGGGGCGTCCGGGGAGAGCATCGCGATGCTCTGGGGCGTCCAGGGAGAGCATCGCGACGCTCTGGGGCGTCCGGGGAGAGCATCGCGACGCTCTGGGGCGTCCGGGAAAAGCATCGCGACGCTCTGGGGCGTCCGGGGAGAGCATCGTGACGCTCTGGGGCGTCCGGGGAGAGCATCACGACGCTCTGGGGCGTCGGGGGAGAGCATCACGACGCTCTGGGGCGTCCGTGGAGAGCATCGCGATGCTCTGGGGCGTCCGGGGAGAGCATCGCAACGCTCTAGGGCGTCCGGGGAGAGCATCGCGACGCTCTGGGGCGTCCAGGGAGAGCATCACGACGCTCTGGGGCGTACGAGTAGAGCATCGCGACGCTCTGGGGCATCCGGGGAGAGCATCGCGACGCTCTGGGGCGTTCGGGGAGAGCATTGCGACGCTCTGGGGCGTCTGGGGAGAGCATCGCGATGCTCTGGGGCGTCCGGGGAGAGCATCGCGACGCTCTGGGGCGTACGAGTAGAGCATCGCGACGCTCTGGGGCATCCGGGGAGAGCATCGCGACGCTCTGGGGCGTTCGGGGAGAGCATTGCGACGCTCTGGGGCGTCTGGGGAGAGCATCGCGATGCTCTGGGGCGTCCGGGGAGAGCATCGCGACGCTCTGGGGCGTCCGGGGAGAGCATAGCGACGCTCTGGGGCGTCCGAGGAGAGCATCGCGGCGCTCTGGGGCGTCCGGGGAGAGCATCGCGACGCTCTGGGGCGTCCGAGGAGAGCATCGCGATGCTCTGGGGCGTCCGGAGAGAGCATCGCCATGCTCTGAAGCGTCCGAGGAGAGCATCGCGACGCTCTGGGGCGTCCAAGTAGAGCATCGCGACGCTCTGGGGCGTCCGGGGAGAGCATCGCGACGCTCTGGGGCGTCCGTGGAGTGCATCGCGACGCTCTGGGGCGTTCGGGGAGAGCATCGCGACGCTCTGGGGCGTCCGGGGAGAGCATCACGACGCTCTGGGGCGTCCGGGGAGAGCATCGCGATGCTCTGGGGTGTCCGGGGAGAGCATCGCGACGCTCTGGGGCGTCCGGGGAGACCATAGCGACGCTCTAGGGCGTCCGGGGAGAGCATCGCGACGCTCTGGGGCGTCCGGGGAGAGCATCGCGAAGCTCTGGGGCGTCCGGGGAGAGCATAGCGACGCTCTGGGGCGTCCGAGGAGAGCATAGCGACGCTCTGGGGAGTTCGGGGAGAGCATCGCGACGCTCTGGGGCGTCCGGGGAGAGCATCGCGACGCTCTGGGGCGTCCGGGGAGAGCATCGCGACGCTCTGGGGCGTCCGGGGAGAGCATTGCGACGCTCTGGGGCGTCCGTGGAGAGCATCGCGACGCTCTGGGGCGTCCGGGGAGAGCATCGCGACGCTCTTGGGCGTCCGGGGAGAGCATAGCGACGCTCTGGGGCGTCCGGGGAGAGCATCGCGACGCTCTGGGGCGTCCGGAGAGAGCATCGCGACGCTCTGGGGCGTCCGGGGAGAGCATTGCGAAGCTCTGGGGCGTCCGGGGAGAGCATCGCGACGCTCTCGGGCGTCCGGGGAGAGCATTGCGACGCTCTGGGGCGTCCGTGGAGAGCATCACGACGCTCTGGGGCGTCCGGGGAGAGCATCGCGACGCTCTTGGGCGTCCGGGGAGAGCATAGCGACGCTCTGGGGCGTCCGGGGAGAGCATCGCGACGCTCTGGGGCGTCCGGGGAGAGCATCGGGACGCTCTGGGGCGTCCGGGGAGAGCATTGCGATGCTCTGGGGCTTCCGGGGAGAGCATCGTGAAGCTCTGGGGCGTCGGGGGAGAGCATCGCGACGCTCTGGGGCGTCCGGGGAGAGCATCGCGACGCTCTGGGGCGTCCGGGGAGAGCATAGCGACGCTCTGGGGCGTCCGGGGAGAGCATCGCGACGCTCTCGGGCGTCCAGGGAGAGCATCGCGACGCTCTGGGGCGTCTGGGGAGAGCATCGGGACGCTCTGGGGCGTCCGGAGAGAGCATCGCGACGCTCAAGGGCGTTCGGGGAGAGCATCGCGACGCTCTGGGGCGTCCGGGGAGACCATAGCGACGCTCTAGGGCGTCCGGGGAGAGCATCGCGACGCTCTGGGGCGTCCGGGGAGAGCATCGCGACGCTCTGGGGCGTCCGGGGAGAGCATCGCGACGCTCTGGGGCGTCCGGGGAGAGCATCGCGACGCTCTGGGGCGGCCGGAGAGAGCATCGCGACGCTCTGGGGCGTCCGAGGAGAGCATCGCGACGCTCTGGGGTGTCCGGGAAGAGCATCGCGACGCTCTAGGGCGTCCGGGGAGAGCATCGCGATGCTCTGGGGCGTCCGGGGAGAGCATAGCGACGCTCTGGGGCGTCCGGGGAGAGCATCGCGACGCTCTGCGGAGTCCGGGGAGAGCATCGCGACACTCTGGGGCGTCCGGGGAGAGCATCGCGACGCTCTAGGGCGTCCGGGGAGAGCATCGTGAAGCTCTGGGGCGTCGGGGGAGAGCATCGCGACGCTCTGGGGCGTCCGGGGAGAGCATCACGACTCTCTGGGGCGGCTGGGGAGAGCATGGCGACGCTCTGGGGCGTCCGGGGAGACCATATCGACGCTCTGGGGCGTCCGGGGAGAGCATCGCGACGCTCTGGGGCGTCCGGGGAGAGCATCGCGATGCTCTGGGGCGTCCGGGGAGAGCATCGCAACGCTCTGGGGCGTCCGGGGAGAGCATCGCGACGCTCTGGGGCGTCCGGGAAAAGCATCGCGACGCTCTGGGGCGTCCGGGGAGAGCATCGTGACGCTCTGGGGCGTCCGGGGAGAGCATCACGACGCTCTGGGGTGTCGGGGGAGAGCATCACGACGCTCTGGGGCGTCCGTGGAGAGCATCGCGACGCTCTGGGGCGTCCGGGGAGAGCATCGCAACGCTCTAGGGCGTCCGGGGAGAGCATCGCGACGCTCTAGGGCGTCCAGGGAGAGCATCACGACGCTCTGGGGCGGCTGGGGAGAGCATCGCGACGCTCTGGGGCGTACGAGTAGAGCATCGCGACGCTCTGGGGCATCCGGGGAGAGCATCGCGACGCTCTGGGGCGTTCGGGGAGAGCATTGCGACGCTCTGGGGCGTCCGGGGAGAGCATCGCGATGCTCTGGGGCGTCCGGGGAGAGCATCGCGACGCTCTGGGGCGTCCGGGGAGAGCATAGCGACGCTCTGGGGCGTCCGGGGAGAGCATCGCGGCGCTCTGGGGCGTCCGGGGAGAGCATCGCGGCGCTTTGGGGCCTCCGGGGAGAGCATCGCGACGCTCTGGGGCGTCCAAGTAGAGCATCGCGACGCTCTGGGGCGTCCGGGGAGAGCATCGCGACGCTCTGGGGCGTCCGGGGAGAGCATCGCGACGCTCTGCGGAGTCCGGGGAGAGCATCGCGACACTCTGGGGCGTCCGGGGAGAGCATCGCGACGCTCTAGGGCGTCCGGGGAGAGCATCGTGAAGCTCTGGGGCGTCAGGGGAGAGCATCGCGACGCTCTGGGGCGTCCGGGGAGAGCATCACGACTCT